AGAGAGAGAGAGAGAGAGAGAGAGAGAGAGAGAGAGAGAGAGAGAGAGAGAGAGAGAGAGAAGAAAAGCATGTTACAGGAATATGCATGATGAGATGAGAGAGATGATTGCAAGAAAAGAATCCATGTGTCCTGCCACAGTTTGCATATTAAGGATCCCCAAAAGGCTCATATGTTGAAGGCTTGATCCCTAGCTGGTAGATTCAATGCTAAAAGGTGTTTGGATGACAAGGGCTGTGAGCTAATCAATGATTAATCTATAGATGGACTCATAATAGAATGAACCATTGAGAGGCGGTGGGAAGTGGGTCCTTGTTGAAGTAGGTCATTGAAGGTTATCTTGTTCCTGGTCTCTTCCAGACTCTTGCCTTTTGTTTCCTGGTTCCATGAGGCAGGATGCTATGTTCCAGCACATGAGCCCATGATGATCTGCCTCACCTCAGGCAGCAGTGGAGCCAGGCAGAGCCAGGCAGCCATGGGCTGAAACCAGGAGACAAGGAAACATTTCTACTCCTAACTTGATGTTTTCTCAACTATTGGTCACAGCAATGCGAGTCTGAAATACAAAGCTCCACATGGATTGCAAATTATACATGAATGTGTATAAGTAATTTTAAAAGGAAGGGAAAACTCTGCATGAGATTTTTAATTAATATCATGTAGATGTCATGATACAAATAAAAATCCTCCCCACAAGCCTACCAGAGTAGTTAGTATTCAAGACAGTTAAGAGCTATTGATGCAGAGCCAAACCATGTAAAAGCCTTATTGGGGAAAAAGATTCACAACATCATGCAGGAGGAATCAGGTGAATAGTGCCTGGCTTGAGGGATGAACTATTCATCATGGATGCTGGGAGAAGCCCACTTCCCACACACCCTGATGTGGCATACTGAGGGAGACACAGCCTTGTTTTAAAGGATTGCAGTCAAATACAGTGAAACTGAAGAGAACTGCAAAGAAAGAGCCATAAGTCCAAACATTGAGCTGAATTCCACCAAACAGCTGGCTTGGATGCTTCAAAAATGTTGCCGTGCAGAAAAGTCTGAAATACTGTAGATTAAAGGAGGTGGAGGAGACCTGAGAACCACATACAATGCATGATTCTTGACTGGATTTAAAGAGAAATTGGCTCAAAAGGATATTATTTAGACAACAGAAGAATGTTTGTTACTAATGTGCATGGATAACTGTAGCGCACCAATCTTAGTCTTTGGGTCATAACTCCACTGTGAGTTTGTGAAGGAAACATCTTGGGTTTTAGCAGATTTTTCAGGTGAGTCCAACCCGGTGCTTGTAGGTCTCACAATATCCACAACAGATTTCTTGAAAGAGGAAGGGAGGGATTCATGATATTATGTTTAGAGCATATTAATGCTGGTGTGTTAGGGAAAGAGGAAGAAAGTGTGTGAGTGTATGTGAGTGGGAGAGAGAGACAGACTTGAAGAATAAGGAAGGTATAGAGAAGAGGAAATACTTTGTCTCCCACTGAGGTGTCCATCTTCAGAGGGAGGGACAGAGGCTTCCTCTATGGTTCTAGTGTAGAAGCTTCATCAGTACCAGGCTAGGTGCATGGCATCTACCATCCCAACACCCAGGTCCAGTGGGTCCCACGTGATTCACTGACCTGTTCGAAAGCAGCCCACTGTCACTAGCCACCACTCGGGCACTCGAGGCAGAATCAAGGCCAGGCGATCTCCCTGCTTCAGGCCACAAGTCTGCTCAAAGACGTTGGCAGTACGACGGGTTAAGTCCCTCAGCTCTCGGAAGCTCCACTTTATCTCATCTCCTTGGCTATTCACCCACCACAGGGCCGGACCTGGGCCTCTCTTGCCCTCCTAGTTAAGATTATATACCAAGCATCACATCACTTCCTGCTTCCAAGGAAAAGGACAATCCACTTCCATAGTCACATTCCAGTGTGAGCCTAGCACAGTGAGATTCCATCTTAAGACATTAACAGACTCCAGAGAAGTAGGAAAATAATTGGGGACTACCCAAAGTCACATGTGACCATAAATACCCTTCAAGCTTCCCACTGAAGACAAACACATCCTTTTCTCCATATATCTGTTGTAGGGCTATATAGATCAATGGTTCTCAACCTGTGGGTCGTAACCATTGAAAAACACATATTTCTGATGGTCTTAGGAACTGAGACATGGCTCAGCAGGAAAATTACAGTTATGAAGTAGCAACAAAAATAAATTTATGGTTGGGGGTTCCTAAAACCATTGGAAATATGTGTTTTCTAGTTGTTGCTACCCACAGGTTGAGGACTGCTGAGATAGACAGTGAGTTCCACCTCAGTTTTCTCATCAATAAAATGGGGACAACAATATTGCCTAAACAACTTTAGATAAATAAACCACATTAACAGTATTTGGCACAAAATAGTTGCTCAATAAAATATTATCATAACAAAAAAAGGCTAAAGTAGTTGCTAAATGTTTGGGTAATGTTTTAAAATTAAGGTATTACTAGAGGTTAGGGTATAAAGATAGAAGAGCAGGAGGCTACATGTCCTTCTTTCCTCACAGAAACACCAACCAAATAATAACAAATTGACCAAAGTAGTTTGTGAGAACTCTAGAAACTAGTGAAGAGTCTGCAACAGTTTAGCAGCTGCCCACAGTTAAAGCCACACTCAGAATGTAGGGCATTCTGTGGTATTCTTTCTTGACCTTGCTCCTGAGCTTCTGGTATGGTGTAGCACAGTTGAAGGGAAGCCATCTAATTCTGGCTCAATGAAAAGACTAGAACTTGTTTGCAATGTCTTGGCCTCTTCAGGAGCCACTGGGTGAACCGCTTTCTCTCCTGCCTGATTTGAAGGCCTCAGGGGAACAGCACCAGGGTTTGATTCTTAGGCTGGGTATCTCTGTACCAGCAGCAGGGTCTATGGTGTATAAAGACTTGTGGGCATCAAGGGCCAAGGGATGATGGAGGAAGGAAGTCAGCAGAACTGCCAAGGCCCTTAGAAAAAGCACAGGTGAATTCCCAAAAGGAAGTGGAGTTAGTAACACTGGCCATGTAAATGTGAAAATAGGTACAGTATGGAAGACACACAAATAGGACCAGAGAAGATAAATGTCATAAAGGCTTGAGAGGACATTAAACCCTAACCTGACCACATTAGTGATGGTCTTTACTTACATTAGCTAGTGCACATGACTGCAAAATAAATGGGCTTTCCCCCACATGTCCAACTTTCAACCAGTGACCACAAGGCATACAAAAGTACTGTCTATTCAAAGAGACAAAACAGAGTCCCAGAAACAGAAGCCCAAACTGTATGGACTTTAGCTATTAGACAAAGATGTTTTTCAATATTTGTGTTAAATTTGCTCAAACAGCTAAAGAAAAACCCAAAGATGAAAAGGAGAACAGAAATGGTCCAAATGAATCAAACGATACTATCAATAGAGTGGTTACCTTCTAAAAGAGAGATAAGTTGAATTCTAGGACCAAAAACACAGTCATTGAGTGGGCATGTGCTAGGGCATGATTCATCAGGAGATCCAAACAGGTAGGAGAAAGACTAGATGAAGATGAATACAAGTCATTTGAAGTTGTTGAGCATAAGGAGCACAGCGAGGAAAACTGCATTTTCCAGACCCGTATCCATGTTCCTGGAGTCTCAGCAGAAGACAGCCATCCAGCTTTTCTGCAGAAACAACGGCCCCAAACTGCAGGGTTTGAGGAAAGACCTGCATCATCTAATACAAACAGCTCAACAACTTCCGGACAAGCCCAGAGACCCAAGTGAATTATAATTGAAACGCAAAGGCCAGAAGCACAGGAGTGATCTTGAGGGCCCAAAAGAAAAGCAACACACGGTGTCCAAGAAATCCTCAAGGAGACTGTCAGTCAAGTTCTGAGTAGAGGTTTATGCAAGGTGGGAGGAGATGAGATCATGTATTTGAAGACCTGAGAGAGAAAAAGCAACAGCAACAACCACCAATTACTTCACTTTTTTTTTTCCAAATGTGAGGGAGAAATTAGGATATTCATAGACAATTCAAACGGGAAAGAATTCATCACCACCAGACTTCAAGAAATTACCTTGAAATGCAAGGAACTGGAAATTAACAAACATGAAAACACAATGTTTTCTTGCAAACATGGTGACATGTATGAGTATGATACCATTATTGTTATCCATTGGCTTGTAACTCTACCATATTTAAAATAATTTAACATAACTATTTATTTAGTTGTGTGTGTGTGTGTGTGTGTGTGTGTGCGCACATGTGCGTGTGCCTGTGCATGTTTAGGTATGCATGCCACAGCATGCATGTGGACACCAGAGGACAACTTTTGGAGCTGATGCTCTCCTACTCTGTGGACCCTAAGGATAGAATTCAGGTTGCCATGTCTGGCAGCAGCAAGCGCCCTTACCTGCTGAGCCATCTCACTGGCCTCTTCAGTTATATTGAAAAGACAATGATAAGGCTATGGTAAAGTGCACTCTAAGAAGGCGAAATTTGTGTCACTGGGACCATAAAGTTGGGGTTGAATAGGATAGGACTGTGGGGAGTAGGGTTTCTTCCTTATGTGATTGAGACTGAGCTGTTGAAAGTTAAAAAGAGACTCTTCATGCTACAGAATATTATATGCACTCTTCATGGTAAGCACAAGAATATAGTTACAGAATACACACAAAAGGGAATGAAAAGAAAATCACACATGTTGGCATAGAAACTCAACATAAAGTAACAAAGGACGGCTTGAAGAAAGAAAGAGAACGGCAGGACAAACAGAGCATTGTTTGTCCCATTTGCGGTCTTATCCCCATGTTGGTTACTCCTCAAGTTGAGTGAAGTGTGTAAGAGACAGATTGGAAGCAAGTCGGTGTGAATGTGATCTTTTATGGATATATTTGGGGACTGTTTCAGGATTCCACAGAAACTATATACACAAAGTGCCTGAGGACTCAATAGTAACATATGTCTTAATTTCCAAGAACAACCGGGCTTACACATTGGTATTTTAAGTACCTTAGTGAGCAACTGATTCCACTGTAAGCTGTCTAGTTTACAGCTCATTTTTGTTTCTTGTTTTCTAATGAATTATCTGCCAAGATCCCAGGCTACCTCTCCTGAGTCTATTATATTTCCATCTTATGTCTTACAAATTAAATATGTTGAAAAGTCAGTGAAGTAAACAGCGGCAGTTCGGGCAGTGCTGTTGAGTGATCCAGGGATCAGTTTCCGAGTGATGCTTGCTAGTGAGCCATGAGACCAGCCTGAGGTGTGATGAGTGGAACAGAAAGTGGAGGCTTTCACAGGATCACCAACAAGGAAGGACCCAAAGTTAACCCATCCCACAAGTGTTTACTGAGGGACTACCATGTGTGAGGCACCAAATGTCACTGCAGGCTAACAGTGAACGGGTCTCAGTTACTAATCATGAGTGAGGTAGTTGGAAACATTGAAGCAGATAGATCAAAGATATTGGAAATGAATATAAATGAGATGGGGTGCTTGTAATTGGGGCTGGGAGGTGTTGGAGATACAGATGAAATGGCAATGGCTGACTATGATGTTATGAAATCCAGCCATCCTGATCTTCCCTACAGGAAGATTTACTTGTTTGTTAATCCCATAAGCTGGTGTATGAACTCACTAACCAGAACTTATGGAGGAAACATGGAACAAGCTAATACCATTGCCCCTCATCACCACTTTCTTCTTTCCCAACCCATCTCATGCTCTCGATATTCTCAACTAGACTTATTGTCTCGGCAATGAAGACGCCCATTTATTTCTGAAGCAGAGGTGCTCTGACCTCTCGGAGAGCAAGACTAGGCTAAAGGTTGGGTTGTGGAGGCAGCCAGGCTGGATCCAAATTCTGCTTCCCTGTTTGTTAGATAGGTAGGAGGTTTCAGCAGGTCACTCGAACCCTTGGGTCCCCAGTTTCCTCATCTGGAAAATGGGAATAGCAGAAGATCAAATGTAAAATGACTGATGTGGAACAGAAGCGCGTTCTCCATGACAGAGGGCTGTATTTTCCTTGGCACTGCCATGAAAGTTCTGAGAACAGACGGCAGAAGAGGCATGTTGCCCTTGAACGGTAACCTATGAGTGCATGCTCCTAGGGAGCATAACATCTACAGCTACTCCCCAACTTCATCTTAGCTGAATTATCTCTGTACAAAGATGGGTGCTGCATCTCTGCCAGGGCTTGTCAACTAGACCTGAGTGGCTCAAAACATCACATCTGTCTGCTGCAATTCCCAGTACCACTCCTACGTGTCTGTCCATTTGTGTCTTGGGAAAAGACAGGCCAAGGGGGATTTTCTGTAGAGATATGGGATGCCTCTGCAGGCTACAGAGACTGCCTCTAACCCTAAGGCCACTCTCAAGAAGGTAGCTGACATGAAGGATCTCAGGGAGACTTGTCACTGTCACAGGATGACAGGTGACAAGATTTAGATAAATGTGGCAGATGCTCCTGTGCACATTCTGAAAGCCTGTACCCTCTCTAGGCATGGCTTCCAGACCAGCCTGAGGTGTGATGAGCTGAACAGTTCGACTTTCTCACTAACTGAAGGTGAGCACTCAAACCTCCATAAACCTGCCAGTTTGAACTTTGTGCTAGATCATGGTTATGGAAGAATAAACATTCATCAAATTATTTTACCCATTGTACAAGTGAGTTTTAAGAATAAATTTACCACAATTTCACAGAAAAACAAACAAACAAACAAACAAACAAACAAACAAACAAGCAAACCCACTGAAGCTCAGAGAAGTAAGAAAATACCCAGACGAGGTATCAAGCCCTCTGATGTAAGCCTTTCCCACTACATGGCTACCTTAAAGAAGCCATGGGCTCCTCTGTATCTCTGGAGAATCCATGCATCCCTCTTTACCCAGTTAGTGCAAGATAAAGCCATCAGGCTACTCTTATTCCCATGCTCCATCACCATGACCTCTTACCTCCTCCATTTGAGCCCAGTAGTCCAGCACATCTCTTGCAAAGTTAAATTCCTCAGGTGAATCATAGTCTTTCCATCTTTGAGTTCCAGCTCCTGAGGTAGATGCACTGTGCTGCTGAGAAGAGCTTGGGGAGGAGCTATGGAAGAATTTGAAGATGCCCCATGAGAACTGAAACTTCTTCAGCCACTGCATATTGGGATGGTCCTCTGGTATGAAACACAGAACATTCAAGTCACTGCCTGCCTTGCGAAGAGATGGGTTACATGCCAATCACCCTGCAGGAGTCTTCTCCATATAGTGTTGATGTGTGGTCCTGATCCATTGCTAAAATTACCTCTTGCTTCAGATGGGGATTTTTCTACCCAGTTGAAGGACCACAAGGTGCAAAATGCCAGTGAATGACTGTAACTGCTACATTTGCTTGGGACACATTCCTGGAGTTCTCTTACATCTCCCTCTGATTTGATTCCTGGGTGGTAGCCATGTGGCCATCCCATTTGCAAACCCTGTTCAAAACCATTTGCAAACCTTGTCAATGGGACAAGTTATCTTTACTCTGGAGACCTTTCTTCCTGTCAAGCCCAAACTAGTAGTTTCCATACAAACTGCCATATATTCATCTAAATCCTATCCCCAAAAGCTGATGATGGGTCAAAAGCTCAATATTCATCCCTGGGAATTTTAAACACAAGCTAGAGCAATCACAATCTCTCTCAAAATTGTGTGTGTGTGTGCGCGCGTGCATGTGGGTGCGTGTCTGTCTGTCTGTCTGCATATCTTTCAGTGTGTTTGGTATCTAAGAGTAGCTCAGACTATCTCTTATTGGAACAGCCATAAAGTGAAAAGTTGGGGAAAATTCCTGAGGTTATGATTTCTATCATGTGAAATAAATGAAGCTGATACCCAGAGACATGGAAATGAGGGTAGCGAGAGTCCTGTCCCGCTGCCCTTCTTCTATTATGAGCTTTCCCTGGGTTTTGTGGACTTCTGTATGGATTCCTACAGCCATACACCCATCCTCAGAGAAGACAGTGCTAGTGTCTCAGCTCCTTAGGGCTGATACTGTGCAGCTCCAAGATCCTCCCTAGGACAAAGTCCTGGGCAGCAGTTCCCAGCCCATCACAGTCAATAAGAGAATGGAGCTCCACTGACAGTTCCGTAAGATCATGAGTTCAAGGGCAGCCTAGATGATAAAACCAATCTTAGCATAGCCTGGGCTACATGGCAAGATTCCCTCTCCAATCTGAAAACAAAACAAAACAAACCTGAACCCTGTATTTGCAAGATCACATAATTGGAGGTTGAGATGAGATGTTCAAGACTGGATGGAATAGTCTTAATTGAAGACAACAAAATGTTCTTGGCTTCTTGGGTACCACCTCATCCTTTAGTTCCACTTCGGAAGTGAGTGTGTTACAGGGGCAGATGCTGGGTGTGGGCTCCCAGTGGCTAATCCTTTCTTCAGTGGCTACACTTCTACCTAGATGTCTGCATGATCTCAGGGTCTTCCTTAAATAGCCTTTCCGCCCCCAGGCAGGGCAAACAGCCACTTAATATGTAGCTAAACGGGCTAGGCATATAGCTCAGGGATAGAACAGCTGTCTGTGCATGTGGCCATAGGTCCAGTCTCTAGCATTGCAAAAGAAATAGTCAAATAAACAAATAGTGGCTACTAACTTAAACAAAAGGGTGAGCTTGAATGAGGAAATATAGAACACTTTATCACGGGCTGATTCTGTGCCCCTTCCTGAAGTATATGTGGGAGTACTGATCCCAATACTTTTCAATGTGACTGTAATTGGAGGTAGGTACTTTCAAGAAGTAATTGAGTTAAATATGAGGTCATTGGAATACATCATGGTTGGCCTACTTTTTAAAAAGGGAAGCAGGCATTGGTAGTGCACACCTTTAATACTAGAACTTGGGAGGCAGACATAGTTAGATCTTTCTGTGAGTTTGAGGCTGGCCAGGGATACACAGGGAGGCAGTGTTAAAAAAAAATGAAAAGGAAGATTAGCATTCTGACACAATGTGAAGGCAAATGTTATGTGAACATGAAAACAGTCATCTACAAGCCATGAAAAGAGGCCTCAAGTATTGATCTTAGACTTCCAATATTCAGAACTTTGAGAAAACACATTTCTGTCAAGTCACTCGGTCTGTGATAATTTTCCATGGCAACCTTCTTGTTCAAACAGAGAAGAAATAATGCTCTCTTACAAACAGTTTGCACTTCTGATTTCATGTTTGTCTGGGAGCTGGTAAACACGGGAGTACCTGGACGAGGACAGCTCTGGGTGGCCAAGAGGCCAGCCTTTAGCAATCGGACAGCACAGGTTCAAATTCCAGCACCTCCATTCACCATCTCTGTAACCTGGAGCAATTTACTTAACCCCCCTCTCAAACACAGATGGACCAACAGCACCCATTGACCTAAACAATGTGGTGATGGCCGGCTGACATTCTGAAGGCCCAGCACAGATGAGTAAGTACTCTAGAAGTAGGAGCTCTTGATGGCTAATGCTTTCTCCAGGGGAATGGAGTAATTAAGCCTGATCCAAATAAATAGCATCTTAACCTCTGCAACAGGGTTAGAAGGAAGAAGTGGGGAGTGGTGCATGGAAACTTTTGCACTGAAACACCCAGATACAGTACGCACCACGGTGCATGACACAGCTTTGAGTGTCACCCGTATCTATGTATTTCTGTCTGTCCTTCGGAGGTGCACAGATATCTCTCTCTAATAGCCCTATTTCTGTAACTGTGTATCAATATCTAAAAATTGCACCTCTATGTATCACTATCTATGGCTCTATATCTACATAGTAACAATTATATTAACACTATTTTATATAGAGGTGAATTTCTATCTATTCAGCATAGTGTTTGTTGACGGACACTAAGTTTTCAACATAATGTTAGATTCTTCCCTTGTTACATTGCCAAAAGCCGGGAAATAGAAACTGGAAAAGAGAAAAATCTATTTTGTCTATAGAATGTCTGAATCATAGTACAAGTTCTCTCTTGTTTATGAGACACTTATTATCAGGGTTCCCATGTGGTTTTAGATCCTGTCAACTGGAGGAAGGTCAGCCCTCTTAGAGGTTATACTCTGAAGACATTATGAAATGATTTTAAAGTCCAATGTTTTGAAATTTTTAAAGCATATTCTGGAGGCAATTTGACCATGTGGATTTGAGGGGGGCTGGGGCCAGGATTCTAGGCTTGTGGATGCAGTACCTTGTGAAGTCTCTGGAATCAAATGTGTTCAATAAACCTTTGGACACAGTATGTTACTTAACTGATCGACATGTTTGATGTGTTGTAGGAAACTCAGTCACAGAGCCAGTATTTTACTTTTGGCTCTGATTTTACCACCTACTAGTTCTGTGGTTTTGGTCTCTTTCATTTGAGGAACATAGGTTATACCTACCACACCGATTTCCATGATTATTAGTGACATAAATACTTTGCCAGCATTGAGCCTGGGACATACTAAGAATTTAAAAATGTTGAGGCTGATGTACCTTTTAACTACCAACAATTCTGAATATCTCTCTCTCTCTCTCTCTCTCTCTCTCTCTCTCTCTCTCTCTCTCTCTCTCTCTCT